CTCAAGCCAGAAAAAAGTGACATCATGGGCCTATATCTTGCAACCTCCTACTCTCCAAACATAATGCTAAAAGTATCACTATTTTGAAAATTTGGGAATTTTAATAAGAAGTAAAATTATTTCTACTTGTGCCTGGAAGGAATGATTTCAGACAGGAAAATACATACTTTTGATAACTTGGCCCATGCTCAATTACTACTGGAGCATTAATTGTTCATACACACACACTGAAGGTCAAATTAATACTTATTTCCCTGGAATAAGGCCTGATTTAGTGATTTCTCCCCCCCCCGCCCCCAAAAGGATGCAGAGTTTATACCATACTTGTGTTATCCAGCTGCTCCCAGGCAAAATACAAAGAACTAGTTATTATCCATAAAGCCCTAAACAGCTGGGATTCAGGTTACTTGAGAGACACCATGTTCTACATTATTCCCACCCGTACTGAGATCATCTGAGGAGGTTTCTAGAATGCAGCTTTGCTGGATTGGGAAAAATAGGTTCTTCCTTGGCTTTTTAAAAGGTTGTGAAAACACATAAGTAGGTAGGTAGGTAATAAACAAACAAACAAACATTTCCCAGGAGGGAACCTATGGCAGATCTTGAACTTGGGATGACTGAGAAGGATTGTCCAATAGAGATTCAGCTCTGGCCTAAAAGGAGAAAACTGCACTCAGAGCCTCCAGTTGCTTTTGTACACTACCAAATCATAATTAAGGGTTCATTCACATGGTCCTGTTGACATGCTTTCCTCCCATCCCTGACTCATCTTTCCTCCCATCTTCTTTCACTCTAAGATTGTTGATGGAGCAGGAAGTCAGTGGCATAGAAGCTGGCTTTAGCAAGATTGAAAGCAATGGAATGAAGAATGGTGAAGCAAAAACATCTTGGGTTAACTGATATTCAAGTTTCCTGCTGTGGCAGTTACATTGGGAGCTAGAGTTTTTCCAAGGTAGAAAGTTGGTTGTGTCTTCTACTAGTTTTAAGGCTGAAATTTTGGCTAAATCAGGAGAAAGGTGGGGAAAATGCACTAATTAATGTAGTGGAAGGGTCTCCACTACATATTCACAGAGGGCAATCAGCCATTTAAAGCAACTCCATCCTAATACAGAATAAAAATTCTTAAACAGACATACCATGCCAAAGCCCTGGGAAATTTTGCTGAGTTCAAGGCAGGGAGCCTATCATCCTGCCAAGTTCTAGCCAGAAAGTCTGATAACTACCTTCAGAGAAGACTACTGAACCTCAAAGGCCAGAGAATGTACCATCAATTTGTTCTTGGTAGGAAGACCTGGGTGCTTGGTTCCAAACTTGAGCATTTGGGGATAGTCTCAAAGAGAGATATCCAATAGACTGAGAAATCTTCAGAGGCAAAACCATCAGGTTCAAAAGGATCAGCACAAGCTCTGCTAGGAGATGAATGGGGTGAACTGCATGGCTCAGTGGAGGCAGACAAAAATCTGAGACTGGGGAGCCTCAGCAGATGTAGACTTAACTAAGGGGAAGATTGTAATTTCTGGACAAGCAACAGGCCTTGCATGCCAGAAAAGAAAAAGCTCTAAGAATGAAAGAGCATTGCTAGCAAAGCTGCCTGTCATATGGTTGGTCTAAAGACAATTATGTAGCAGATTTCAGAAGAAATATGGCATAGAAGGCCAATACTTGGAATGATCTTCCTACTATACTTTGGGCAAGTTCAGGGAATTCAGGTCCACTAATTAGAACTGCGAAAGTTTTGATGCGCCCGTGTGATCTCACAAAACCATCGCACATTTTTGGTGACTTCAGAGAATCTAAAGAAGTGTTTACTGGGGTATGGGGGAAGTTAAATGTCAACAGCTTGTCTGGCATGCAAGTATTCAGTAGGTGGAATTTAAATAGCTAATTCCCTGGGGAAACAGATTGCTTCCATTTTGCTATTCTTCTGCAATACAAGAGTACCATTCACCAGCACGTTAGGCATAATGCCTTATTTTTCCTGAACAAACATAAAAGCTAACTAGGGAAGAAGCAAACTGAGAATGTCACTCGTGAAGCAGTTAACTCATCAATAGCAAGTTACAAGAGGAAGGGAAGGTGGAAATAGCCCCAGGTGGGGAAAAAAATTAGACAGTAATGAATCTAGTATTGCACTTTGAAACTGAATAGATTACAACCATTTGGGTATCCAAACTCATTTAAATCATCTTCAATATTTCATGAAATATACTTTGTCCTTTCAGTGCCTTGTTATTGAACCAAGTTTGCTACTGTAGCAGTTCCAAACTATGCTATGAAGGACCAACAGCTCAAACTTTTAATTCTGGATTGCTCACATGCCTTCAGGTGAGTTCAGCTGGTAAAATTACTCAACTGAGTACTAATTTATAAACACCATCTTCCAAGTGCACTTTCCTCCTTTACTGCAATAAATAAATGCAAGAATTTAGCATTAGTGGTTATATTGATGAAATTATTATTCATAATATTAATGTAGGGAGGTTTGTACAGGTAGCCCTCATTTAGCGACTGCCTCAGACAGAGACCATTAGCAGATACGACAGTGATGAAAAAGTAACTTTGTGACCAATGCAATGTTTCTTTTAAAACATTAATCTGTATTAATAAAACACTTCACAGAGGCTTGAAGATTCATGAGCATCCAGATGCCAGAGCTTGTGTGTCAGGCCTAGTGTGCCATTTGAACCTTTCAAAAATCATTTGGAGAGAACTGGCAGATTCCAGAGGACTGTAAAGTGTCTTCCTTCTTAGCACATGCCTGCACTGGAGGTTCTGGTTCCGAAGTTCTACTTCTGTAGACTAAACCTGACACAGGAGAAACAGTAGTAGGAAATCCAAAAGGGGATGTTGTGTATTTGTCTGTTATTGGGACTCTGACTAGTCCAGTGTTTCTCAACCTCAGCAACTTTAAAATGGGTGGATTTCAACTCCCAGAATTCCCCAGCTGGTGCTTGTTGAAGTCCACCCATCTTAAAGTTGCCAAGGTTGAGAAACACTGCTCTATAGTAACGATCACATATAAGCATTCCACTTCCATCGAGGTACTTAATTCAATTTAAAATGTGTAAGTGATGGCAGCTGGAACTCATATTCACATACAATACTAAATTTTTTTTAGGGGGAAAGCTGCAATATGAACCTAACAGCTAGGATGCACATTGACTTTAAAAATAACTCTGTTAGGATTTCTATACTATGATGAAATATTCATACATGCAGAGAAACAGCATAAGAGGGTTATGTGTAAACCGATCTTAGGCAGGGCAGCTAAAATACCTGAAAAAGAAATAGAGCTGAAGAATTTCAAATACTGGGCAGATTAGAAATATAATGAACATTATAACCTAGATCAATGTTTTCTCGACCTTGGCAACTTTAAGAAATGTGGACTTCAACTCCCAGAATTCCCCAGCCAGCATGCTGGCTGGGGAATTCTGGGAGTTGAAGTCCACATATCTTAAAGTTGCCAAGGTTGAGAAACATTGATCTAGTCTTTTGGAGTGGGGCAGCTATAATACACCTAAGAAAAGATCAATGTTTCTCAACCTTGGCAACTTTAAGATATGTGGACTTCAACTCCCAGAATTCCCCAGCCAGCATGCTGGCTGGGGAATTCTGGGAGTTGAAGTCCACATATCTTAAAGTTGCCAAGGTTGAGAAACATTGATCTAGTCTTTTGGAGTGGGGCAGCTATAATACACCTAAGAAAATAAAAAAAAATGCATAAGAAAAATCTTCAAAAGTGGAAATCTGGTGCAAAACTGAGCAAAAAGGAGCTTACTGATAAGTTGTGACTCAAAATATGGAAGCCATTGGGCATAAGCATTCCTCTGTTAGGGGAAAGATAAAACCACAACTAATGAAAAATTGAGTGGGCAAGAATTTGCCTATCCCTTCGCCATTATCTTTTAAGTTGCTTTTAGACAACTCCCAACTGCATGCCAGCTCAGAATGCAGTCACTTTAGAGAAAGAGAAAGCATGCTAATCTTTACCTCTTGAAAAAAATCCTGAGCAAAAGAGCATTTGTTTAAACAAGTTGAGTTTCCTTCTAAGAAGAACTGCTCAAAATCAAGACGGAAGGTGGTCAGATGAGGGCGGATGGTTTGGTGAATCATCTCTCTTTCCAAATAGCCCACTCCATCCCTGTTGCTAAATGTTTCCCTCCGCAAAACCCCACATGACTAACTCCCACCCAAACTCTCCAAAGTTTGTTTTCAGTTACATTTATGTGAACTTGGGGTGTTCCTTTCATTGACATATCTTGCAACTTCCACTACTTAAGAGTGCAATATAGTGATTTTAAACAAATAACTGCCACAGAACGTTGATTTGGTTCTTCTAATAGTTGTGTAGGTTCCCTGCTGCAATGTATTTTTTTCCTTCTGAGTTCTAGAAATTTCATTGAACATTTTTCTGCAATATAATTTAGAAGATCAACACGTTTGAATTGTAGAAACTCCTGTTTAGATTAAACAATCTTCCAGGTAGAAAGTCCCAACTACTAAAGTCAATGCTAGTGAAGGATGATCATTGTTGTAGAATGGACAGGCAGTCAGTTTAATCTTGAAGTTCATGTGTGATGCTTGAACCAACCAGAGTTTAATCAGTCTGAATAAAACAAAGTCCAGCTATCAAAAAAGATGCATTTCTGGTTCTTCTGTAGAGATTCATAAGGAAAATAGGCAGAAGGAAATTCTGGAACACTGGTAGCATAAAAGGAAGGTCTATCTCAGTGCAATTAAGATTAATGGTAGGCAGTGAGATCATAAGCAAATAAGAACTCCACATAACAACTGTTAACTGTATTTATGAAGAAAATCTCATAATCAATACACTGCATAAAGATATTCAATAAGTAGCTTCAAAAAGACTAAGCTACATGGAATCAGCATATGTCTGCTTGTGCATAATCTTGCATATTCAAGTTCCAAGGTGTTACCTGGAAAAGTTCCAAGGTGTTACCTGGAAAAAGAAGAACACTGCATTAGAGTCCTCTTACCCATAATTTGCTGTCATGATAAAAGGCTCCTAACAGTTTTACAATGTATGGGTGGTCACAAGTAGCAAGAATCTCTATCTCCACCATGTAGTCCTCCAGTTCATCTTCACTTTTGGTCTCAATGACTTTGGCAGCAGCTAAGGCTCCAGTCTCTCTGTTTTTAGCCTGTAATATACAAGCAAAAGGAACATTATGTCATGCATTACCAGTGACAAACTGATGAGTGCTATTCCATACACCTGGAAGAAAAATTTTCATTATTTAGGGTTATGAGTATTGTATCAAATAACAACCCTAATGTAATCAGTACACGAGAGTGTACTAAAATGTGTCAAGAAATGTCAAAACATATCTATAACTATGGGAATGACTCAAATTAACCATGATGGCCAAAGCAGCAATCAATATCCTACTACTGTGTCTGAAGGCAGCTCCATCTGAAAGCCATTCAGTGACCAACTGCCATGGCTGAGGGACTACAGAGAAAAGAGACAAATGCTTCTCCTTTTTGGTCAAATGCACCTCTATGACCTGCTAAATTGCCACTTATGCAGATGTGGAACACAGTCTAAACTACAGTTGGGTAACTTGCAGATTGAGACAGACTTCTGCATTGAGAAGTTTCTGGCCAAGTTACTAAGATTACTGTAAGTTGGTAAAAGCTGCATATATTCAAATGTGCATATGTACTTGGATATTTCCACACATTTAAGTGCATTTGCAACCCATCTTACCAGCAAGCATCATACGTGAACCTCAAGATTAAACTGGCTGCCTGTCCCATTCTAAACAATTCCTAAATGGGCATGTTGTTCAAATCCTTCACCATCAATACATCCAAACTAGGAAGTGGAGCTGGAGGACAAGGGGGAATAATGTAAAGGGTCAAAGTAGCTTACCTAAATCATAGCAGAATGGATCAAAGATATATGAACAAAACTATTATCACTGGGTATCTAAAGTGGAAATATTGCAAGTGGATTGTACTATAAACTGAAAATGTAATGCTCTTCAAATTATATGAAGCTAATTCTCTTTTTATAAGCTGCTCTTTTTTTATCTTTTTAATTTTTTTATTACAAAAAGAAGAAAAAATACACAAAAGTACTCTAACAAAAAAGTGAAAAAATACAACAAAGAGGAAAAAAAGTGTTAATATATCATTATAATAAATAATTACAATTCTATATATGCTTATCTATTACAAATATTATTCAAGTGCATATATATTTCTAATAGATTTATATGATTAACATTTTTTTAAATTAATCCCTATTAATGAAACATGGGATGGGACAGGTTTACCTCACAGATACTTTGACAAAACTTAAAGGTGTGGCCATTCTTGATCAGAAAGTATTCCCAATTGATGTACCACAAGTTGTCACTGATGTAAATCGGCATTATTTGTGTGCCAAAATAGCAGAGACTGCAATAGCTATGGTTAATGTTTATGAACCAAATTTAGATTCTCCTATTATGCTTTATGAATGTTTTCAACATTTGGATGAGTGTATTTATGATAAACTAATAATAGGAGATTTTAATGAAATATTGGATCCTGAGCTTGATAGTAATACACTGGAACAGAAAAATCAATCAATAGCGAGGAAAACAATTAAGACTTATATGGAAGAATTGAATTTAGTAGACCCCTGGCATTTGATGTATCCAACTAAAAGAGAATATACATTTTATTCAAATGTGCATCAGAACTTTTTAGGCTTGATTATTTTTTAATATTGTCGATTTTATATAATCAAATTCAAGAATTTAACATTGATGTATGTTATGTATCTGATCATAGTGCAACCACCTTGAAATGTGTGTTTCAGAAACCAGTTAAGGTATCAAGAAATTGATATCTTAATGTTTCCCTATTGAATGATAAAGAATTTGTACAACAAATGCAGATAGAGGCCTTACAATATTTTGATCTGAATTCAGAAACATCAAGTGCCCGAATTTTTGAAATGGAAGCATATAAAGCATACATTCAAGGTAGAATTATTGCTTATGCATCACACAAAAATAAGATTAAAAATAAAAGGGAAACTAATTTAAAAGATGAATTGAAATATTTATGGGCACAGATGGGTTAGATGCCCATCTACAGTCTTGTACAGAGAAATACAGAAAAAGAAATAGGAGTTAACTGTAATATTACAGAAAACAGAATTTATGCTAACATGTTTACAACAGAGATACTGGGAGAATGGTGAAAGACTTGGTAAGATCTTGGCTAATCATTTAAAGCAAAAGATAGGGCAATGATTCCAATCATTAGAGGTGAAAGAGATGAAATGTATAAAACTTCAATGGATAGTAATTGTCAATTTTTAAAATTTTATTTAGAATTATATAGTAAACCAGAGGATATATCGAATGAAGATATAGAGGCTTTTTAAAATAAAATTAACCTACCACATTTAGATGACACACAAAAATAACTCTTATTCACTCCACTATCTGAGCTAGAGATTAAACAAATAATTTTAAAAATGGCAACTGGTAAAACACCAGGATTAGATGGATTCCCTATCAAGTGGTACAAAACATTTATAGATCTTCTGGTGCCCAAACTTTGTCAAGTATATGAAGAGATATTTGATAAGGAAATTTTATCACCAGCATTTAATCACGCTTATATTACAGTTATACTAAAAGCAGGTAAAGATCATACTCGGCATGCTAATTATTGTCCAGTCTCATTGATTAATGTCAACACAAAGATTTTAACAGTAGTGTTAGCAAACTGATTACAGCAAGTGCTATTGTTTGTTATTAAGAATGATCAAGCAGGGTTTATAAAAACTAGACAAGCAGCAGACAGCATTAGGTTAGCTGTAGATTTAATAGACTTGAATAAAAACAAAGATTAGTTTGTAATTTTATCATTAGATGCTGAAAAAGCCTTTGACAAAATACATAAACAATATATGCTTGATGTACTAAAAAGATTTGGATTTCCTTTGGAATTTATAAAATGGATGAAGTTATTATATGAGTCACCCACATCTAAAGTAAAGGTTAATGGTATGTTTTCTCCTACTTTTCCACTATTTAGAGGAACAAGACAAGGATGTCCAGTTTTACCCTTGCTTTTTAACATTTGTGTGGAACCCTTGGCTTGTGCTATTAGACAACACAGGGAGATTTACTGAGTAGTACACAAATCAGTTGAACATAAACTGGTTTTATTTGTAGATTTCTAAATAAATCTAAATCTGAGGTTTATTTCTAAACCTCACACTACTATTTCAGTGTTGATGCAAATGATAGATGCCTTTAGTAAAATAGCAGGATATTCTATTAACTGGTCCAAATTGGAGTTGATGCCAATAGGTGAAAATTTGGTTACCCATCCATTTAAGGAATATCAATTCTGTATTTGTACCAAATCCATTAAATAGGTGAAAATTTGGTTACCCATCCATTTAAGGAATATCAATTCTGTATTTGTACCAAATCCATTAAATAGGTGAAAATTTGGTTACCCATCCATTTAAGGAATATCAATTCTGTATTTGTACCAAATCCATTAAATATTTAGATATGTGGATAT